GATTTATAATAAGAACTATTTGTTCTTTCTAGAAATTGCTTTTATGATAGACACGGGAGTGATCAATAATTACTTAAAGATAATATTTAGGTCGAGTTCTTTATATCTATTATGTCAAGTTATCTAATCACACATAATTTTATGTTCTCTTTTCAAAAACTTTATCATTAGTTAAATTACAAACCCATATAAAAAAAAGACACATGACTATTTGTGATTGGAGAATTTCATATATAAAATATGCTTCTCTAGTCATATTTACAGGGTAGAGAGAGAATACATTTTTTGATCATATTTATAGGACATTCAGAAATTTTTTTTATATAGATGTATAATTTTATCCTTTATTTATTATTGTGTTAAATTTGGTTATATGAGGTATAATATATATTAAATAGAAATAAAATTAAAAATTTATTAAATTTGAAATAAAAATTAATAACTTAAAAGTCTTTCTTGATCAGTATAAAATAAATACATTAAAAATGATTTATAAATAAAAAGATATGCGGACAACGTCCCAATAATTCATAGCCTCCGTACCCACATGCCAGTCGCTGTATCAATGCAAAGAAAGCAGAGAACCCGACTCCTCTCCAATCATTGCCCTGCATGTCTGCTATACGTTCCACCATGCGGATTCAATCTTAAAACATATCTCCACTGGATATGCCCCCCCCCCCCCCCCACCCCACCCCACCCCACCCCACCCCAAAAAAAATAAAAGCTTTACACACGTTTTATAGGACCCAGCTATAAAATTTTCGACTCTTCTCCTAAATATTATTGGAATAAAATATTTAAATATCTCAAAAGTATTTATAAATAAATATTAAATACCTGAAAGATTTTTTTGGTTCTTTATGTCCTTGAAGTTTTATATCACAGTATTTCTACCTTGAAAGTTATCTATTATTAATTATTAAGTTTGACTGTCAAACTATGATCAAATAATGATTAGGATATTTTTGTTACAAAAATAAATTTTCAAAATATATAAGAGTTAAGAAAACTTTCAAGTGTTGAGTATTAAGCACCATATCCCAATATCTTTTACCAAGGACCCCATCCTTCGCTTTTTTTTTTTTTAATATTCTAACTGGATATTTTTCTGAAATAGTAACTTAAAGGGGTGTGTGTATGATAGGACAAAAGTGAGTTTGATAAATATATAAAAATTTTACGATAAAAAAATTAGCACTATTACTTCTAAGTATGAACACTAGCAGAGTGTGTTTGGTTCGTTGGAGTTATTGGAGGGAAAAGATATAAACAGCGAGTACTATTCAAGCGAAGAATTTGGACAAATATGTAATCTTACCTTAATTTCCGTAACGAACACAGTATTACAGCAACATTAATTCCATCAGTCTATTGATGGAATAATTTGTTGGATGCTTTTAATTCCACAGGGAATGAGGAAAGGAATAAAAGTCATCATTTATCTCAAAAATGCCTGTGCCAGGTTCATTTGCCTTTTCCCATGCCAATCCATTTATTTTCTATAAAAGTCGGAGTTCTCTGATCACATGCGATCACATATTTTATTTTAAAAAATATTTAATAATATTTAAATATATATTCATATAAAATAAAAAAGACATATGACTCTATAATTAGAGAATTTAACATAATTATAAATTCACATGAAATAAAAAAAATATACATTTAAGTAACGCTGCACAAGCTTTTTTCCCAGAAAAATAGAAAAGAATATATATGAAGTGGTCAAACACTGTGGGACCTAGGAAGCGGTTAAAACAGAAGGCTTGCGTCTATATAATCCTACATTTGATACACCATGTAATGTATATCATATACCTCTTAGAAAGTAGCTTAAAGTACACATTTGCTGTTATAACTTTGTATAAAGTTTTAATTTAGTCCTTTAATTTTAAAAAGTATATTTTTAGTTTTTTAACTCTAAATTTTTTAAAAATGATGATATTAAAATCTTAAATATTGATAAAATATTCTCAAATGCTAACATATTAAGTTTAATTTTTAAAATATTCATGATTGTTACAAAAAATTATCATTGAAGCCTAATGATTTGAGGGTTAAAGGACCAAATGTATATTTTTTAAAGTTAAGGGATTAAATTGAAATTTTGTATAAAGTTAAAGGACAAAAAGCATACTTTAGACTAAAAAGTATTATACTCCCCTCCTTAATATAAAAACTAAATAACTAATTTAGAAAGATTAAAATAATTAGTTAAATTAGTTAAATATAATAAATATTTGTTGATTTTTTTAAATTACCCTATTTCATCATGTGCATGAAATTGTCCCTTGTTAAGATTATGGTTTTGATGATAACAAAGTTAGATTAAAATTGGTTAGGTATGTTGATCAATCATCTGATCGATCAAATGATTATCGATAAGCTGTCAAATAATTGTTCAGTATAAATCAAATCTATGTTAAGTATTTTAATCGATAAGATGTCCGGTAATTCATTAACAGATAAAATGATCGATCATCGTTAACGTGAAAGTCATAGAAGGTAACTGTCGGTTATCGATAGTTTAATCGATAATCTCAGATGATCGAACAAGTGACAGACAAAAAGAAGTGAATCTGGACTGATCTTATCAATCAAGTAATCGATAAATGCGTTATCGATAACGACATCAATAAATGGTAAGACACTCTACTGTTTGAATATTGTTTCTAGCATTGTTTATCGATCACATTATCAATCACCTTATTATCGATAATATGATCGAAAATTGAGCTATAACCCTCTTAAATGCAGTTACTGATTTTAGACTATTAATCGATAACTTTATCAATCATCAAGTTATCGATAACATGATCGATAATCTATGTGCCAGTTGCTTCTACTGAGTTTTCTTTAGAACTAAGTTATCGATAACCTTATCGATAATTAAGGCTTCCCTACTTACCCTGTTTTCAGATAACATGATCGATAAACAGTTTTAGTATCAATTCTTCCTATCACTATTTATCGATAATCTGATCGAACATATCTTGATCGATCACCTATTCGATAAATCTTGAATATCCTTGTTTTTCACGAAAAGTTTTATACTTGACTTTTATCGATAACATTATCGATCACAATTTTATCGATAATGTGTTCGATCAACATACACTAAACTTTTAATTCTGTAACACTTGAATTATCGATAAATTGATCGATTAACCTTTACTCGATAATCTAATCGATCATTTGATTCCTGTCAGTTTATTTTCAGCAAGCTATAACATTTCACATACTCACTTGACTACTCACTTTCAAGTTGTTTCTGCTTGCACAATCCTCATGATTACTGAAATAAGTAATGCATATTTAAAGGAACTCTGATTTACATATCAATCGAAGATTTCCTGTTGCCCTTTATCGATCACCTGATCGATAAACCATTGCTCCATCATTTGATCGATAAACATCTTCAACTAATCGAATGTTTCTCTTTCGGTTTTTTTTTCGATAACCAAATCGATTAATCAGTAATCGATCACTTCTTCGATTAACCATTTCCAGAATTTCCTTCTGCAACTTTTACGGATAATTCATTTCATCTAGAATCATTGAGTAATCAATTAGTCATTCATCTTTATAAGCTTACACCATATTATTCTTACTTGTTTAAGTTTAAAATATGGATGCAGATTACTAAGAGAAATTACAACAGCTCTTCAACGAGATTACGTAACCTGTAACCCGCAGTGTCAGAAAGTTCAGACGCATTAATGGCGGAACCATTGGAATTGGCTAAACACGCAAACGGAGTTACAACGGCTAGAAGTTCTTCCGTCTAACGGATACTCAATGATCATAACTATAAAAGACGCAAAGAAGCATTAATGAGAGAATTGAATACTGGAGCTACTATCTGTGATTATTAAGTCTAGCATTCAATACTTTGTTTCTTCAATACTACTGAGCATCAGTGTTTATCATTAAATTTCACTCTGTAAGAGAGTCGATTCCTACTCTTTATTAACTACTATTGAGTGATACTCAAGAGTGTGGACTCTTGAGCGGGTTTGTATCCTTACGGGAGTAAGGGGGAGTGATTGAGTGATTCAATTACTTACTGTACTGAGGCACCAAGAGCCCGAATAATCTTGGAGGATAGTGGAATACTCAGAGGTGTTCTGAGGAGTGGACATAGGTCAAGTGGTTAAGACCGAACCAGTATAAATCCTATGTTTTCTCTTTGCAGTGAAATCTTCCTTAACTCTATCTCTCTATTTCCGATATTTTTTTTTATTTCCAAGAATTTTTTTTACTCACCCAATTCACCCCCCTCTTGGGTGAGATTAGTTCTAACATCCCTTGATAAGACCCTTTACAATTAATAGGATATTTTAGAAAAAAATTATAAATTTTAGAGAGAAAATGAAATAATATCTTATATTTATGATTAAATTCAATTCTCAACTAGCTTTTATATGAATATTATTAAGGACTAAGGACCAAAGGTAGCACTTTGTTTTATGAAGAGAAAGAGTGAGAGAGATAATGAATGGAATGATACAATATGTTTTTGAAAATTTCAGATATTCCCTAAATATATCTCATAAATAAGATCATGCCTACCAACAAAATTGTATTTTATATATAAAGACTGCTGGAGGGAGCTAGGCGTTTACTGCTAAGAAAGACGAAATGAAATTCTCAAGGACAAAAGAATCACCAGATCAATTATTAGATCTCTTATTATATACTAGTATTTTATTTGTCGAGAAGATCTTTTATAAAACAATATCTTTTCTGCAAAATATCTTTCTCAATGTCCCCATTACTTCACTTTCACGACGTAAAGATATAATAATAGTAGTAGTAAATAATAATAAGACCCATTAAATCACATTTTAATTTGTGTTCTATAAATTGCTCACATCTTCTCTTTTTTTCCTCACCGCCACAATAATAATCCTTGGTTCCTCCTATATCCCATTTTCTGAGAAAGATGAAGACATTTTCTTCTTCTATAAACCATTTCTTCATCTCCATCTTCATAATATTTTTTTTCAATAATCTCAATCTCATCATCTACTTCTGAAAAACCCTACCAAGATGCGAACACACACTTCATCAGAACATCTTGTAATTCCACAGCCTACCCAAGGCTCTGCTTTGCCTCCTTATCAAAGCACGCTGGCTTCATACAAACCAACCGCGTCCTCCTGACCAGTGCCGCCCTGAACGTGACTCTGGCGTCGGCAAAGGCGACGTCGGTGATGATTTCGACGATGTCCAAGAGCTATGGGATAATGAAGCCAAGGGAGGCCGCGGCGATGAGAGATTGCCTGGAGGAGCTGCGTGACTCGGTGGATGAACTCAGAAAGTCCATTGGTAAGATGAGTCAACTCGGAGACTCCAACTTTGAGGTCACCATGAATGATGTTCAGACCTGGGTTTCTGCTGCTTTGACTGATGAGAGTACTTGCACTGATGGGTTTCAAGGAGTTAATGGAAATTTGAAGAACACTGTGAGAAGCCGAATTGTGCAGGTGGCTCAACTTACCAGTAATGCTTTGGCTTTCATAAATCAGCTTGCTTCTTCTCATGCTTAACTAATAAATTAGATCAAATCCATGAACTTTCATATTTTCCTATAGATTTCCTTTCAAGTTTTGAAAACCAATACTTTTTTTAAAAATTACTATGAGGGCTCAATGAAAAACTGCAATCATAAAAAATTTTCGATGACGAGTAGGCAATATAAACTTGTCATTTCTACACTGAAAATTACAGAGTTATTGTGAGATTTTTTAGAGATTAAATTTATTTCTCGTGACCTTATAGGTTGAGAAATTTTGTGTAATTTTTCAAGATTTTGTATTGCTTGTCTCCAAAAGTGCGGAAAACGTTGCGTGTATGTGTCTCTGTATGTATGTATGTATGTATGTATGTATGTATGTATGTATGTATGTATGTATGTATGTATGTATGTATGTATGTATGTATGTATAGCATATAATTTTAGCTATTTGATGTATGTAGCCAGTAGTTCGGTCAATTGTTAATATATGGCTCCAAGCTGGTGGTTATAATGTTGTATCATTGTAAAGTTGTACTATAATGCAATACCTTCTCCGTCTCTAAATGTGTGTAACCTAAAGTTAATTTGCTGCTTTACTTCTCTCGTTTCAACAGTGCATTAATTACATTTGTAGTTTTGCAAGTTCTATCCATAAGATATGTAAAACTTTGTACTCATCATAACAATGGGGAGCACTATGATAAAGTGATCATCATCAATGTGGTAGGATTTATATCAGATAAATATAATTTTAATGGTCTAGGTTTAAAATTTTCAAGCACTGGTATCTAAATTAAAAATTATCTTCTAAAAAAGGGTTAAAGTACAAATCTACCCATGAAGTATATCATCATATATGTCCAACATCATAAGCTTTTCTTAGGTACAAAAATACATATAAAGTTTTAAAATTATGCAAAAATGACATGACTATAAGTTGCCAATAGAGGTGTTCAATTTGTCCCTTCCTGGTTATCCCATTTCAGTCCTGGTGGGTTCGGGATGGGATCAGATGGGACGAGACAGGACAAAAATTTTTTGAGACTAGATAAGACACGGGACGGGGTTGTCCTGTCCTGTCTTGGGTTTTTTTTTCTTTTAAAAATTATTTAGTAATAACTATTATTAGATTATTTAATGTACTTGTCAATAATTATTATTATTTTTATAGTGATTTTAGCTCTTAAATTGTAGTATTATCTCAACAAAATCTCCTTCCTCAATAAAATAATTCATAAAGTCATTATATAATTTTTTTTACGGCACTTTTTCTTTACAGTATTGTTTTTACGCCTTTTTTATACTATATAATTGAGCTTTCTACATAATAATTTTTATAATGTTTTTATCTTCAAAAGCCCAATAAAAAATAAGCATTATAACATAAAAAATTCATATAAAAAATTATAGTATTTTTTTTTTAAAAAAAGGGGAGCAGGAAGTCTCAGTCCCGTCTCGGTTCTGTCTTAGTCCCAAGGGGATCGGGACAGAACCGAGATGGGACGGGACAATTGCCAACATTGACCATTTAGCAAGCACATGGGTAAAGAAACTTGTGCAAAAATATACATGAAGTTTTCATAATGATACAAAAATACCATGGGTCTTGGAACCTTCATGTGTATTTTCACCATTTTGAAAAGTTCATGTATATTTTTGCATCATTTTCTTAGCCGACATGTTTATTAAACACCAACATTAGTTAACTTAATAGTTGTGGCATTTTTGCATCATTTTAAAAATTGTGTACTTTTTCACCCAAGAAAAGTTTACGATGTGTGATGCCAGTAGAATATTTTATTGGTATATTTGCACTTTAATCCTTTAAAAAAACGAACAATTAAAAAAATTAGTTTTATAAAATTTTGGGAAGCTAACACTTCTTAATGCCAAAATGAGAGGAAAACCTAAATTTTTTTTTTGAAGTTAAGATAAATGATAGAAAAGCCCTTTAAAAAAACCCAACCCTTATTAGAGACCAGCCAGTGTCCCTCCACCTGCTAGCGAGATGGCCACCAAAGAGGGCTTTTCTTTTGTGGGAGGGAATTTTTTTAAAAGGAGGTAGAGGTGGGATTTAATCCTATCACCCCTTAGCAATGTTCGTAAAACCAAACCAGATCGGACTGGCTGGTTCAGACCAGAAATCGACAAACCAGCCACTTGTCTGGTTCGATTCGTCGCTTAAACTAGAAAAATTTTGAACTGGTATGAACCGGGTATAAACTGGACAACTTGTTGGGTTTGGCAGACTAACCTGGTGGATTAAAAAAATAAACAAGAAACTGAAAGAGAAGAAACTATCATCTATGGAGCTGAGAAGAAGAAGGAAAAAAAAAGAAAGGTCACCATCTTCTTTTGGCTATGCAAGTTCACCTTTTTTATCCTTTGCAGCTACAAGTCATATGATCTTAATCTATTCACTTTTCTATGACCTTGCAAGCGTCTCTGAAACGAAGGCAAGGAGCTCTGGACTATGGCGGTATGAAAATGAAGAATGGATGAAAAGAATCTGAAATGAAAAAGAAAAGGAAAAAGAATATAGAAAGAAGAAAGAGCAAGAAGAAGGGAAGAAAACAATTGAAATACGAGAAACAGTGATGTGATTTGAATTAATGGTTAGACATAGAAAATCGTGAGAAGCACTGAAAATAATAAAAAGGAGGGGAGGAAAAAAATAAAATTTAAAATAGATTAAAGTAACATTAATAATATAAGTTTGCCACCTAAAAACCTTCAAGGCATCAACGGAAAACACAGATTTATTATATATAATTTTTTAAACATATATTTTAATTATATATATTATTATAATTACAAAATAAGTCACATTATTTGTTTTATATGTAAATATTATGTATTTATTATTATTTAACATTTATTTTTATATCTCATTTTCATTTTTATTCAAAATAACCAACATAAATTTGAAAACATATTATTTTAATTAGTACTGGTCTGACTCCGATTCAACCCCAGTTTAACTCATTAACCCTTAACCCTCTGTCTTAACCTGTTTAGTGATCGGTTCAGTTTTCAGTACCTTGCCTCTTAGTGGTTTAGGCCAAAATATAAGATAAAATATAAAATGATCATTGGGTTTCCAACATCTTGCTAACTTCCTTTAACAATCTTCAAAGTACTATCGAGTATTAAATATGAAAATTTTTTTTAGTGGAGATTCAAATTTTAGTTCACCATGTTGTGAGGAATAGTCTATTTTGTTAGACTTAATCCCTCTTGGTTGAACTTTTTCTATTAGATGAGATATGACAGCAACAAAAAGAGTGTGGGCCACGGGGTCAAACAAATAAGTAAATAAAAGCATGTAGTGCTGGTAAACAAAAAAAACAAAAAGCATGTAGTGTCTCATCCGTCCAACAAAGAATAAACCACGAAGAAAATTAAAAAATTAAAAAAGAAAAAGAAGTGAATTGAAGTGACAATAAACCATGAAGCAAACACAATACTTGAAAGCAAACAACTTGACTGACTAAATTAAGGAAACTTGGAAGGACGCATTAATATTCATTAATTGAACAATAAGTTAAGATGCATCAAGCACCTCGAAGTATTTTCTCAGGTGCATCCAACATCCTAAAGTATTTTGTGGTGCATCCAATACCTTGAAATATTTTTTTATGTGCATTTAGCACCGTAAAGTATTTTTTTGGTGCTTCCAGCATCTCAAAGTATTTTTTTAGGTACGTCTAGCACCAAAAAATATTTTTTGGTGCATCCAGTACCCAAGCAAAAAAAAATACTTCAAGGTGCTGGGCACCCCTAAAAAATATTTTAGAGTGCTGGATGCACCATAAAATACTTTAGGGTACTGATTGCACCTGAGAAACTATTTTGGAGTGTTGGATGCACCTTAACCCTTGAATAATTATGAATGATCAACAATAAATCAAGCAACAAAAACTAGACCGAACATTAAATAAGTTGAGGCAGTAGTTTAAGAGTCAGTGAATTAGACCGAGATTAACTCGAAGTCAAATTGGTCATATTAAAATAACATAATTTAATTAAAAATAATAAATTACAACAACATTAATACTAATTAATAACAAAATACAAGAAAATATAACAATATTAGCTTGATTGTAACAATAACAAAGTATAATAAGAATTTTGATCTTTATAATTTTTCAATAATAAAATTAATAATTATTGACACTAAAATCAATATTAAAATTCATTCAAATTTGTAATAACTAAGATATTAGAAGTTGAATGAGGAAAAATAGCATCAATAGCAACATAATCATCTAAACCGATTTATTACCGGTTCACATAGGTTTTCACCAGTTTTTGTTGGTTCACATTGATTTGACCAGTTAGATAGTAGTTCAATTTCTAATCGGTTGAGTACTTAAATCACATCGAACCACTGGCTGATTCACTGGTTTTCTAGTTGAACATGCTGGTTCAGTTTGATTTTTTTTCTTGGAATAAACTTTAAAATAATATTTTTAATTCTTGAAGTTTCAGCTGGTTTTTTGTTTTAGTTTATAAAATTTGACCTTATTTTGGTCCACTTAAAGATTTTTGATATCTGAACAATATTTTTGGTATTTAAAACCTTATTTTAGGAACCAAAACCATTATTGATTTCAAATTTTAGAGAACGAAGCTAAAGTAAGATCAAATTTCAGGGACTAAAAATGATATTAACCCAAATTAATAAGTACATTTTCCAACTCAATGTGTAAATTCTCTTTTAGGAAAGAATATGTTAATGTTAATCTTGGGCGTCATTTTTTGATGACATTGACATAAACTTCTTCATGACGGAACAATTCAGGGAGGCTTATAGGTGGTCTACAATTTCTAGATGGAACAACCTGGGAAATATCTTTTATGTCTATGAAACTCGATCTATCTAAATTTTGATTTGTGATTATTTTACTGCACATTTACCTTTTGGTGCTTTTTGTGTCAAGTATAGTGGATGATGAAGATTCTATATTTAGATTTAGGACCAAACCACATTCATTATGAGTTATATATATACCCCTTGAAATTAATTTTGAAAGACTCATAACTAGCCAATTCTTACCATTAACTATGCTTCTTTCACCTGTGTTTACTTTGTTTCATAATTAATGTGTTAGCCTCATTGTTTAATTGTCAGCCTCGAAAACTTTTCATGTTAAGTTGTCCATGTGATCCCTTTAAGTGGATAGAAGTGAACTAGGATAACATCATTTTCATGAACTCTTGGAGAAATTAACTTTTTGGAAAAATATATTTTTTGGCTACTGAAGTTTTGAAAAGAAAAATCGATAAATTGAACTAAACTAGTTGCAAAGTGACAATCATGTAACAACTTGAATA